TCAAGATAAAACACCTGAAAGAGGAAAACAATACTTAAAAATTTATTCCCATTTTTTTCTTAGTTTTTGTTTTGTTTTGTTTTAAAAATAAAGAACAAAGGTGAAATGTAAAAACAAAAACAAACAAACAAACAAAAAAACCCACAACCATCCAGTGTCTTTAGAGAAGAGAAATTCATGTTTAGGTAGTATATCAGACAAGACACTGACAAGTTGCATGGCTACTGAACTGTCACAACTATGTCAACTGCCCTGTCCCAAGAAGCATACATAACGCCAAACCAGCAACTACACAACCTCTCCCATATACTAGCTCTGCAAATAAAGTAAACATCTTTTCAGGAATGTCTAACCATAATCTTCAGTCAATCAAGGATTTAGTTATACACCTTCTAATTCGACATTCAAACATGGCTTTCTTTTTCTGAATATCATCTTCTGAATATAACTGGCAAGAGACTAGCGCTTAGAGACTTCAGTTAAATAAGCAGTAGTTAAGAAAAGGGCCACAGCTTGGCCATTAAGCTACCGGCAATTTTAAAGCTCCAAACAACATGAAAAATTAGAAGATAAAACATGTGAAATGGATATTGTAATTTCTAAATCTTGTGAACAAATACATATTTGCCAATAAGAGTGAAAACAAGCATCTTTTAGGGAAAGAATGCTGAAGCACACAAAAGCCTTTGAAACTAACTCTTTCACCATTCATAACTTCAGAAACAGCTTCTGAGAATGGAACAGGCCATGGCCCAGGGCAATCCTAGATATGTATACGGACTGAGAGAAGAACTCCTTGAGAGAATCCATGCAGAGATGGAATTAGGGGCCTGGAAGATGAAGAAGTTAACATGAGCCACTAGTGTGTTCTAACAGCCCGAAAGACCAATAGTATTTTGGGCTGCATCAAAAGAACGGTGGCCAGTAGGCCAATGGATGTGAGTGTCCTTGTGAGGCCACATCCGAACTACTGCATCCATCTCTTTGGCTCACAACAGTTGAAAGATATGGAGCTTTTGGAGAGGGCCCAGAGGAGGCCAGAAAGATGACTGGAGCACCTCTGCTATGAAGACAAGATGAGGGAGCTTGGCTTGTGTAGTCTGGAGAAGAGAAAGGTCCAGGGAAACCGTGTTGCAACTTTCCAGTATTGAAAAGTTTATAAACAGGAGTGAGACTCTTTTTACATAGGTAGATGTGGAGACCTCACTGCGATGTTCCAGTACTTGAAGGGAGCATTTAAACAGGAAGGGGAACAGCTGCTTACAAGTGATAGGTCAAGGAGGGAATGATTTTAAACTGAGAAGGAGGAGGTTTAGGTTAGATATTAAGGGGAAGTTTTTCACACAGAGGGTGGTGAAGCACTGGACCAGGTTGCCCAATGAGGTTGTGGATGCCCCATCCCTGGAGGCATTCAAGGCCAGGCTGAATGTGGCTCTGGGCTGCCTGGTCCAGTGGTTGGCAACCCTGCCCATGGTAGAGGCCTTGGAACTAGATGATCATTATGGTACTTTTCAACCCAGGCCATTCTATGATTCTTTGATTCTATGTAAGCGGAAGCTATAGACTGATCTTAATGTCATTTATGCTAATAGAGGATTCTTGTATAGAATCTAATTGAACAGACATAGTTAAATATTTAATAAAATGTTCTGGCAGAACTACATTCAATTCCTTCTCTATAGCTAAATATATTATAAGAAAATCATAGCTAGGGGATGTAATCAGAACATACCATGGAAGTCTATATGCTTCTCTGTAATAAAGACTCGGTCAAGTCAATACAAGGATCTGTGAATCAGTATGAGTCCACTGTGTAGCCTGCAGCTACCCTTGCAAGCGCACAGAAATAAGGCCACAATTTGTTTCCTTTATTCCTTTAGATTTTATATTCCTTTAGAATTTATATGATTATATAAGATTCCTTTAGAATTTATATGTATTCATTTGCAGGAAGAAGCTTATTCACATGAACGTTATAGATCACAGATAGAGCAATCTAGATTCTAAAAGAAATTGGAGACTTTCTGTGTTTATTCTTCTATAATTCTGTTTCACATTGTCATAAGAGACCTTTTATGGAGGCCAGTGTTGTTTCCAAAAAAGGTTCACAATTCCTTCTGTGAAATTTTATATCCATTACCTTTATGGACTGCCTTGTTATATGACGTGTTAATGGGATAGGCATGAAAGCATCTACTGTCTTAATGCACACAATAAGTGCAAATCTAGTTATGAATTTTCTAATGCAATACCGCTACTGTCATAAAAATCTGTTTGGCTACCAGGGAGGCACTATGATAAGAAGACTTTGAGGTACTTTAAATGTAATACATCAAAAATTTATTCACTGTGAGGAGTGTAGTAGTATGAGCTTTTTTTGTTTGTTTATTTTTTAGTCATCCTCAAAAAATGATGCAGTATTTCTAAGTGTCTGTAAAGTGCTGATGGTGAAACTGAATGTAATAAAATACCATTCTACCTTTTTGCAGTATGTAATAAAAGGCTACTTTAGCTGAAATTCCTTAGGCACACAACAGTTAACAGTATTTGTATGTTTATCTTCAAAATACCTATCTAAGTAAGAAGTAGATCACATTCACAGATGTGAGTGTAGTCAGCCTCAACCTTCTAAGAGTAAGAAGTGTCATGAGAATGCAAATTTCTTTGTTTTAGTAGTGAATTATTTTCTTGGAAATCTTGTCTCTGAATTGGAGAGATGTGGATTTAACAGATGAACCACTTGCTGGATGAAAAATAGGCTGGATGATCAAGAGAACTGTGGTTAATGGTTCAATGTCCAAGTGGAGACCAGTGATGAGTGGTGTTCTTCAGGGATTGATATCGATACATCTTTGACAGCAAAGTGGACAGTGGGACTGAATGAACCCTCAGTGTGATTACAAACTGTGTGGTGCAGTTGATGTGCTGCAGGGAAGGGATCTTGATAGGCTTGAGAAGTAGGCCCATGTGAACCTTAAGAAGTTCAACGAGTCCAAGTGCAATGATGTCCTGCACTCAGATCAGGGCATTCCCAAGAAAACAAACAAACAAAAAAACAGGCTAAGCAGAGGACAGATTGAGAAGAGCCTTGAGGAGAAGGACTTGGAAATGTTGGTTGATAAGAAGCTCAGTATGACCTGGCAATGTGCCCGTCCAGCCCATAAAGCTAATCGTGTCCTGGGCCACTCCACAAAGGACTTATCACTGCCAGGTCAACGGGAGATGATTCTTCCCTCTACTCTACTCTTGTGAGATCCTACTTGCAATATTGTGTTCAGCTCTGGAATCTCCAACATAAGAAGAATGTTGACCTGTTGCAGCAAGTCCAGAGAAGGACCACGAGGATGATTAAATGTCTGGAGCACTTCTTCTATGAAGAGTGGCTGAAAGAGTTGATGTTGCTCACCACAGAGAAGAGATGGCTTCAAGGAGACCTTACAGCAGCCATCCATTCTTGGCACTTTTTACAAGGGCATGTAGTGACAGGACAAGGGGTAACAGCATTAAACTACAGGAGAATGGATTTAGATTAGATGCAAGGAAGAAATTCTTCGCCTTTGATGGTGGTAAGGCACTGGAACCAGGTTGCCCACAGAAGTTATGGATGTCCCATCCTTGGAAGTATCCAAGTCCAGGTTGGATAGACCTTTGGGCAGCCTGATCTAGTGGAAGGTGCCGATGACCATGCCAAGGATGTTGGAACTAGGTGATCTTTAAGTATTCTTTCAGTCCAAGCAGTTCTGTGACTCTACAATTTATTCTATGATTCTATGATTCTATCATTCTGTGTATGATTCTGTGATATCTGAACCAAAATAATAATCAGCCTGACACGCAGCCTGAATGAGCTACTCCTAATTTCCTAACTTGTATAAGAGTATATTACTTCTCCACATAACTTTCTCTGTCAAATTTTAGAAGATTAATAAAACAAAACAAAAACAAAAACATTGAAATGTGTCCATTTCATTGAAGCAATTGAATTTTTCAAAAACTTGTGTGATCAAGTAAAGAGATTATTCCCTTTTTAAGATCTTAAATAAGATTAATGGAATAAGTGGATACTCTATTTACTGCAAGCTAACTTCTGGTTCACAGCAGAAAATCAAGTAGAAAGGAAGTGAAGATAGGTTTCCAAAGAAAAAAAACAAAGCTGAAAGTACTCTAGAAAGCCAACATATCAAATCTACATGTATTTCAAGTAAAATGGGCATTGAAAGGTCCTAGACTTTGTCTTTTTCAATATTAAGGTGTGTTCAGTATTTAACAGAGATGGTGCAAATGTCCTCCTTTACATTACTCTGCTGCCTATATGCAGTTCAAGAGACTAAACTATGATGTACACAAATTCAAAACAATGGCAATATATAAATAAAAGCAACATGTAAGTAAAAGGTAATATAAAAGCAGTTCAGAGACAGGAAGAAAACAAATTAGGATTAGTAAACCGGATGAATGATCTCTAGACTTTTATGCACTCTTGAACTGAAGGGTTAAAATGTAACAAAGAAAGAAACTGAGCCCAAAGATGTGTAGTAGCTTGCTCAGTCAGGTATCAAAACAACGGCAGATTTTCCGGTTTAGAACTTCAACTACTACTATGTTGTTAGTGTCTTAAGTGAAGCCTCAAACAACATAATTTCCTGGAAACTTGGAAAGCTTTTGTATATAAAAATCAAAAGCTGAAAATATTTCTTAGAATACTTTCAAACTAGATCTGTTACTGAAGCTAACTAGAAAACTGTTAAAAAATGAAGAACACATTCCTCCGAAAAACCCAGGAACACTCATCAAGTGAGAAAGTAACTTTTGATCTTTGATTTTGTACACTGATTTTGCAGACTTACGTCAAACAAGATAACAGAAAAAAGCACAAGATTAAAATGGATGACTAAAAAGAAGAACCCCCAAATGGTATAGCTATGGAGAAGAAGAGAGCACATAAATAGAACTGAGGGAAAAATTCATTAAAAATAATGGCAGAATAGAGCTATTCTTACTTGGCACAAGCCGCTGATGCACATATCCAGGGATTCAGTGTAGCATCGGGTCCCATCCAAAACCTTTGGTGCCAGTTCTACAACCAAAGCTGCTCCTCTGGCCTGGCACTTCAGCGAGCATGGGTTGTCAGGATCGTTAGAGACAGGAAGCCACTCATAAAACTGTCCCTGATACTTGACATCGTTATGAGCTGAACACTGCTGAGCACGAAAATCACCTGCTTCTGGAGGACAGTCCTGCAGAAAAGGAGGAAAAGATCAGTGATTCTACTCAGGAGAGCTGGTCATAGAGTTGTACAGCTGGCTGGACTTCACAGTTGCCACATATACTGAGTTTTTATGTTTAGAATAAATAACATTGAAATAAAAGAGACAGTTACAGCTACATGTTATTCAAATGTATAATTATGTCTTTCTTTTTTCTCTCCAAGTAAGTATGAAAACAACATCAAGACTATTGTTTGTTTGCTTATGCTTTCTTTGCTTTTTTTTTTTTTTCTTCACTTTTGTGATCTAAATCAGTTGGTAGGGAAAAAGGAATAAGAAAAATGCAATATGTATTTGTAATTCTTTAACACAACAGAGGCAAAGATTTCATAACTGTCATAATTAGCAACTTCTTATGATCTTACACTAAAAAGCCCCCTTGTTAATACTAATACCTTGAGAGATTTGAAACATGTAACTTGACTCTGCACCGAGTACTCCTGATATAAAAACAAACAAACAAACAAACAGTGACTACTCAGACTGCTTGATGTCTCCCATTAGTTTCTCTCCCTGAAGTTAGAATGTGATGTTTTTCTAAAGTACACATATTTTCTTGTCAGTCTCTCAGGAGAGTAAGAAGAACTTCAAAACGATGAAACTTCAAATAGAATAAATGTAAGTTCTTTTTATTTCCTTTCCAGTTTTTGATCCTTAAGGACTGATATTTTCAAGAACCAAAAAGGCTAGAGATTAGTTTTTACTTTATTTTATTTTAGAAAAAACCTGAAATCTGAGACAAATGCATACCTAGCACCTGCTCTTTTGTTACAGTTCCTATGATGGTGTTTACCCTAAACCTTAGCTGCTGTATTCCTGTCATTATATGAGGATTCAGGTTTTTTCTAAAATAAAATAAAAGAAAATAATACAAAATAACAGGAATGCATTTGTCTCAGATTATTAAGGTCACAAAGTACTCCACCTTCCTCTTATAAGGAAATCTTCCCCTTGTGAAATGAATGCTTGCTATAACTTTGCTTAAGAATGGGAGATGCATAAATGTTCATTACAGACTTGAAGGAAGGAATGCCAAAATATTTATGTAAGTTGCTTCAAAAATAATGTTTCTATTTATTTCCATGGAAAACTATAACAGATACAAACAACACAATATCACTATTTGATAGAGCAAATTCTCAGCAAAAAAATACAATTTTTTTCAACACAGTTATCACAATTAGTGATGTATTTTCCTCAGTGATGAGCAAGAGATTGCATGCCATGCTTGTAAAAATCTGAACCAGTAGAGGTGACCCACTGTCATCACTGCTGTAATGCACAATCCACTACCTCACTGTGCTCACATCCACTGTTTGGTCTCCATAAATTTTCAGCAAGCATCAATAAATATCAATGGGTGCAAATTTTTTTCCACATGGAGGAATTCAATTACATAACTTTGCTCCATACACATGTACATGTCAGATGCCATTTTCTATGACTGCCCCTCTGCTGCCATCTTTTACATTACAACATATAATGGAATACTGGTGGGAACATTAAACCTCTATGCCATAACACCAACATCCACCCCTGATGCTGTAGGCCAACATAATAGGAAAAGAGGCATTACTTTCAGAGCAGCTCTCAAACAACTAGACAATATCCTTAAAAAATTTCTGTATTTTTGTCCTCTGAATAATGACTTCACCCTATAAAAATTGTATTATCTTTAATGACAAACTAATTCACCTCTCGTCTGCATCCTCTCAACTAGGAAAATCTTACTGCTATTCAGGCAAAATAACTTTTCTGAGATTTAAATGGTAGCCTCACATTTTTTTTCCTACCATTTCCTGTTTCTTTAAGCTGTAGTTTTCAATAACAATGACATGGGGATTGCATATCACTCTATTACATTAAAGGATCACTGTTTTATATTGAAGTCTAAAAGAAAATCTGTGTAAAAAATCAAATTTCTAAATCTTATCTTGAAGGAAACTGGTAACATTTTCACTATGAATGTATTGTTTAAAATCTTCACTATGAATGTATTGTTTGTATACCTTTAGCCTTCCATTCACTAAGTAGTGAGTAGGTGGTTGCATCCATTATGTTTGAATATTGAATAATGTTGGATCACATCGCTCTAAACATTTCTCATGGTGAACTATACACAAATTAAAGTCATGGCTTTAAGCCATAGACTTTCAGCAGATTAATTTGCTTTCTAGAGAGTGAGCAAATTTTCAGATAATTTGCTCTGTTTCTAGTGTGTTAGAGCTTGAGCTTGATGGGTCAAGTTCTAGTCAAACTTCTGGCCTTTAAGGACAACAAAATAGTGTTCTTGCTATAAAACGTATTAAGAAAAAGATTTGAGCCAAACTTTCCTCTTGAAAAGTATGTATCAAAGAGCAATAACGTAGAGCTCATTCATTCTCTTTGGAAGTTGATATTGAAAGTCCAAGGTCAGTGGGAGGACTTAGGCAGTACACATCTTTTCTATTCATATGTTGTGGAAGATTTAAAAAGGAGAAAACTGGTGAATATACTTCACCATGATTTTTAAATCACTGGAATAAAGAAATCAATGAATATACAGTGAACAAATATACAGGTCCTGTCTCAGATCTGTAATCTAGGCAAACTGTTAAAAAACAACAACCTTTAGACAAGGGCTGCAAGTGAAGAGACCGGAAGAATATGTGTGATTTCATTATTCCTCCATAGCAGCGTGTATTAGGTTTACATGGAAAGTACACGGAGAGGTTGCCAGGTTGACCCCTGCAAGCAGAGCCCAGCACTGCCCCATATCAGATTGGAGCCAGCTCCTGTTGCTCCAAAAGGGACCCACCACTGCCAGAAGTTTTAGAAAGGGAGAAACTGTTGTGCAACAGCAGCTGGGAGAGAGGAGAAAGAAACTGTGAGAGAAACAGCCCCGCAGACCCCAGGGTTTGTGCAGAAGGGGGGAAGGAAATGGTGCAGGCACAGAGCATAAGCTTCCTGCAGCCTAGGAGAGGCCTGTGGTTCATCAGGTTGTCTCCTTGCAGCCCATGGGCACTATGCAGAAAAGATCTCCATGTGCAGACATGGAGGAGCCCAGAGTGCAGAGGTGGACAAGGCCTAAAGGAGGTACATCCCATGGATACCCCTGCAGGAATACATATGGCCAGAGCTGCAGGCTGTGGGGAGCAGCCTTTGGTGGGGCGGGAAGGCTGGGGGAGCTGCTGCCTGTGGGGAACCTGTAACAGAGCAGTGCCTGAAGAGTGGGTCCTGTGGTATGGAGTCATGCTGGAGCCATGCTTGGAGAGCTGCAGCCTGTGGGAAGCCCATGTAAGATCAGCTTGGGAAGGACAGCATCCCATGGGAGGGACAGCAGGTGGAGCAGGGGCAGAGAGTGACCATGAAGTACTGGTAGAGATGAAGTGTTATGGATTGACTGCAGCCCCATTTCCTGTTCCTGTACCAACTGAAGAGAAGGAAGGAGGTAGAAGAGGGTGGTTGGGAAGAAGGTGTTTTCTTTTGCTTTGAGTTTCTCACTGCTGCAGTCTGTTTGCAATAGGCAGTAAATTATACTGTTCTCTCTACACTGAGTCTGTTTTGCTGTGATGGTAACTGGCAATCTCCCTGTACTAGTCGTGACCTTTGAGCCCTTTTGGTCATATTTTCTCTCTCTTTTCCTTTGAGAAAGAGGAGTGAGAGAGCGGTGTGGCAGAGTTTAGCTGCCCAGCAGGGTGAAACCACTTACATGGTGTAATTAGAGAAAAATGGTCTTTCTGTTCTGCTTTTAAACAGAGGATGAACAAGACAGTTACAGCTTCACTCAAGATCTGTTTTAGTTCTATTTTCACTAAAGAAAGAAAAGCAAAGAAGAACACTGTGGCCTTGTTTTTTGCTACACAATCTTCTGGTGCATACCCTTCCCTGATTTTTTTCTGTCTATAAGAGAATACAGTCAGGTCTATTGGCTTGGCTTACACTTGTTGCTGAGATCCAAGCCAACTCTCTTGTTTGGTTCAAGCTTGGCTCTACCTTCGAAACTTGCTGGCTTGAGATAGCTTTATTTTTACAAAGACAGAAAGGCCCATTAAAGCTCACAACATACAGAGCTCATAATCCTGCTTTGTACAGGATTCAATACTATATCTGTTGTGCTGGATTTTATTTTTAAATCAAAGAAATAAAAAATGTATGGTCAACATAACAAGCTTTCAGGACACGGCAGGTGACCAGGACCAACATTAAATACTTCCAGTCTTTGATATCATGATCAAAATAAAACAATGGATTGAAATAATAGAGCTTGTGTTAAAAAAGTTTGCATGTGAAACTTGAAGCCATTCAAGGAATACATTCAAGCAGTCACAAAGGCAAACATCCATACTTATCTTGGCACACAGATAAGAAAAGGGGTCACAGTCTGGACCACTGCATTTCTCCTACTGCAATCCTGAGTCCTAAATCTGCCTAAAGGCATTGAAAACACTTCTGCCTAAAGATCTTGATGATCCTTCTCTCTAAAGGAAAATTTCCTTTCAAGTTAAAAAGATGTGTACTTGCAGCTATGTGCATAATGCTTGCATAACCTGTGTTCTGTTTTCTGTAAAAAAAAACCTGATAGAACAAGAAAAGTTGAGTCCAAATATCCATCATTAGACAAAGATCTCCTAGACTGAAAAAGAAGAAACTGTACAGAGCTTGGCATTTTTCATTATTCTTTTGTCTTTCTTTTCTTCAGCTTTTAGAGCTTATTGTATATTGCTCGTCTTACGTGTTACTAGGGATCAGAGACTTTGTGCAGTCATATAATGGAAGACAGAAGTTCACAGCCTGTAAATGAGTATTCTACTTGTGGAAATGTTGGATAAGGCAAATTAGATGTTTTGCAGTGCATCTGTTCAAGCAGTAAGTTGCTATTTTCTTCTGAACACTTCTCATGCTTTTAAATATGTACTTGCCTGTTTTAGTGCCAGCTCCAGGTTACGAGAAATGATGGCCTCGGTTGAAAAGGACCACAATGATCATCT